GAGGGGGGATGGTGGAGGCTGAATGGGGAGGGGGCTGGGGTTAGGTAGACGGGGAGATGGTGGGGGCTCGTGGGGAGGGCCTAGGGGGTTAGGTTGAGAGGGAGATGGTGAGGGCTGGATGGGGAAGGAACCAGCTCCCCTGTCTCTCTGCAACTGTCCCTCTCTCCTGAGTGTCTCCCTGAACCTTTTTGTTTCTCTCATTCTTTGTCTCCCTGCATCTTTCTTTGAGGAGACTCAGGGACAGCAGTGGCCAGGGTCTAGGGGTGCAAATAAGATGCAGGATGCAAGCACAATCTGGATGTTTGCGGCTCCCACATTCCTGTGTGGAAATCCTCATCCCCAAGGTGACAGTGTTAGGAGGTGACTAGGTCATGAGGGTGGCGCCTCATAAATGGGATCAGTGCCCTTAGGAAAGGAGGCCTGAGGGAGACCCTTGCCTTTCCACATCGTGAGGACGCAGTGAGAAGAGGGCATGTATGAACCAGGGTCCGTCCCTCCATAGACAACAGATCTGCCTGGACCTTTGTTCCCAGAACAGTGAGAAATAAATGTCTTTGGTTTCTAAGCCTCCCAGTTTATGGTGTCAGCCCAGATGGGTTAAGACAGATACCTAGTTAAATTTGAGTTTCAGAAAAATAGTAACTTTTTAATAGAAATATCTTCCAAATACTGCACGGGACATATTTGCAGGTCATACTTATACTAAGAAAAAATAGTCATTATGTATGTGAAATTCAAATTTAACTGAGCATCTGTATTTTATTTGTTAAATCTGGCCACTTTCCGGGGCTTTCGGGTGAAACTGTTTAGGCTCCACCATCTCCAAGGTGCCTGGCTCAGGGGCCAGGAAGGGCTGAAATCCAGCCCAGAATCCCTACCCAACAGCCCTCGCCCGGCTGTGTCTCTAATTCACACACGATCCCAAGGGCTGGAAGCACCCTGAACTGGCCCCCGTGTTGTGTCTATAAAATGTTCTGTGCTTTATGATGCTTTGACATCCTGGGACCTCGCAGACCCAAGCAAGGAGCAGGGTAAGCTAATTCCTGGAGATAGCGAGCATGCTCTATATCAAAGCAGACCAACCAATCCCGAGCCCAGGCCCCGTGGCCTTTTTTTAATCAGGCTGCTATAGTCCAGGACAGTCTGCCCCTACCCTAAATCTCCCAGGCCACACATCAGGCCCCTGCAGCCCAGGGCCCAGGGAAATGATCCAAGCTATCCAATCCTAACCCTGCCTCCCCATTCCTTCCTCTGAAAGCAATCCACAGCAGAGGCTCCCCACACCTCCCACCCCGGCCCCAACTGCCCCTGGGGCCTCCACGTGGGGCACTACCTAACGTGACAGGCCCCTTCCTCTGGAACTATGAGTAGCAAACTGTCTTTTCAAGGGCAGTTGTCTCCTGATTTGTTGGCCCCCCTATGCCTGAATAAAAGCAAAATTCCAGGTACATTTTTAAACAGTGCCCACCAAACTCCACTCAACAAACTGTGCATAGAGCCCCAGGTGGGGCTGGCGTACTGCAGAGCCTTTAAGATGAACCAGGCTTTGCAGGACAGCTGGGCCAACCTTTTTTTGTCTGCAGCTAGAAAACTGAGACCTGATAGGGAACTGACTGCCCTTCTTAGCGGTAGAGTGGGCAGTGCCAGGCCTGGAACCACAGCCTCCTGAAGCCCTGGCCTCTGCTCTTGCCCATACTCCTCCCAGGGCAAGCTGGACCCCCAAGCTCTGCAGCTGGGGGTGCAGCCTCCAGAACGCCCACTCTCCTTAGCTGTGAGGGTTCTCCTTGGCCTCAGACGCTGGTGAAGTACAGGGCCCGCTCCCCACCCACCACCAGTCCTCTAAGTGGCCCTGGACAGATTAAGCAGGGCCTTGGCGATCCAAGCAGGATGTGAGGCAGGCCCATCCCTGCTCTAAGGGTGTGTCCTTCCTGTCCCAGACTGACCATCCTGCCAAGAAGTCACTCCAGGCCTGCCGATCAAAGCACCCAGCACCTGGTGCCAGAACCCAGGGCAAACCCTTTCCCTCAGGCACAAATCCAGGGGAAGGCGGGGTGGCTGCCTCTTGGAAGATAAACCCCTCGCTTATGTCCTGGGCCGGAACCACCCTGCCGTGTTACATAATGCAAAGCTATGACACAGGGAGAGGGTTGCCCAGAGGAGAATGAAAGCCAAGGACAGGGCATTCCTTCCCGTCTGAGCACCTGTCACATGCCTCCGGCTCCACCGTCTCCAAGGTGCCTGGCTCAGTTGCCAGGGAGGGCTGAAATCCAGCCCAGAATCCCTTACCCAACAGCCCTTGGCTGGCTGTGTCTACCAACAGGGGCGCTTGTGTCTAATCCACACACGATACCAGGGGCTGGAAGCACCCTGAACTGGCTCCCATATTACTTGTGTCCTTTCTGTCCCAAACTGACCACCCTGCCAAGAAGTCACTCCAGAGCTGCTGATGAAAGCATCCAGCACCCGGTGGCCTGATAGGGAAGTGACTGCCCTTCTCAGTGGTGGAGTGGGCAGTGCCAGGACTCTGACAAGGTCAGTGTGCTGCAGAGGACATGCTCCATCAGCTGGAGAGAGAAATCAGGGTCACCCTGCTGGACCTGTCCCGGCTCACTTCGAGCTCAGCCTGTTGTCCTTATCTACATCGTGCAGGCCCCTCAGAGAGCCTGGCACCATGCTACTGCACAGCAGGGTGGGGGCCCCTGTCCACGCTCCTGGGCCTGTGACGGGAACAGCAGCACTGGGCAGCCCCAGGCCTGGGTTCCAGGTTCCACCGCAAAACCTCAGGCAACTCCCTCCCTGGGCCTCTGTTTCCTCATCCACAAAATGAAGGAGTTGGGTCAGACGCTCTGGAAGGGAAACAGATTTCTCAGGGTGGGAAATCACCTCAGAGGGTCTCCTCAGATGGTCTCCTGCCCCTCTGTGGCTTGTCCAGGGAGCAGCAGAGGCCTGAGACCTTCA